ACTACACATCCTCTCAATCTCATCTAGGCATTGGTTAGGGAGAATAAAAATGGATGCCCAAAACGTTATAGTAGAGTAAATTACGGACTGTATAAGCTGGAGTCTCCCAGCAAAAGACAAATGCTTTACAGTCCAGCCATTGAATCTGCCATGAATTCTGTCCAGAAGTGGCTGGTAGTCCTGTCTCTTCATTTTACAAGAGGTAAGCGGCACTCCCAAGTACCTAACAGGTAACGCACCATGACTTATACCCATTCTTGAAGCAAGTAACTGGACGCCTTGAATATCTCCTCCATCCAGAAACAATGAAGTCTTATTCAGGTTAATACCAAGCCCAGAGGCTATTCTGAAATCGTCAAGAATACTTAGAATACCGTTTAGGGAATCCTCACCACCATCAAAGAAAATAAGTATATCATCCGCAAAGCTTAAATGAGTGATCATAGGAGCAATACAATGGGGATGCAGACCAAACCTCTGAGTAATCACTCCTTTATCAAGTTTCTTTGAGAGCACATCCAAAGCAAGAACAAATAAAAGAGAAGAGATTGGATCACCTTGCCTAAGTCCTTTCTTTCCTTGGAAAAAACCAATTAATTCTCCATTGAAAGCAATGCTAAAGGAAGGAGTAGTGAAGCACTCCTTAATCCAACCAATAAACTGATGAGGCAGCTCTATAGCATTCAACACATTCAACAAGAAATCCCAATTCAGATTATCATAAGCCTTAGCTAAGTCAACCTGAAGACAGCCTCTAGTGGTGGTAGCAGGGATGTGGAAATCAGTAACCAATTCTGATGCAAGCAGCACATTTTCACAAAGCTGCCTACCTTGAACAAAACCAACCTGGTTGGCCTGAACTGCATCAGAAATGAAGAGCTTAAGCTTCTGTTTGAGGAGCCTTGCAATGACCTTGTAAACTGTTGTACAACATGAGATTGGTCGGAATTTAGTAGGATGGTCAGCACCAGTAATTTTGGGGATCAAAGTGATTGCAGTAGCATTGAAACCTCTTGGAAGGTGCCCTGTAGAGAAGAAATCCTGAATTGCTTCAACAGTATCTTGCCCTACAACATCCCAAGCTTCCCACATAAACTCCACTGGAAATCCATCAGGACCAGGTGCCTTATTCTTAGGCATTGAGATAATCGTTCTTCTAATTTCAGCCGCCGAAGGTACTTGTAATAATTGAGCTGCCAAGTCAGGTAAGCACCTAAAAGCAACCAAATCTTTGATTTCTTCCACTGGCATGGGGCTTATGTCAGTGTTTTCTGTCCCCAAGAGATTCTGATAATAAGAAACTAGCGTTGATTTGATCTGATCAATATTCTCTATCCTTTCATCATTATCCCCTCTAAGGTACTTGATGCAATTTCTTCCTTGATGAGCAATAACAGACTTGTAAAAGAAAGTAGTATTTGCATCTCCATCTTTCATCCATCTGATCCTCGACTTTTGACGATAGAAGCTTTGCTGCGCCTGGGAAAAAAAATTCCATTTCTTTCTCGCAACAAACTCTTGTCTAAATAACGTTTGAGTAGGAGCAGTTAGGAGGGCGGATTGAATAGACTCCAGGTCAACCAAGGCCTCTTTTGTTCTCTGTTGAATATTACTGAATCCTTCTCTATTCAACACTTTGCACGCAATTTTTACGTTCCGCATCCTTTGAGTAATAGTAAACATCCTGGACCCAACTGCAACCTCTTTATTCCAAGCATCAGTGATTACTTCCAAAAAACGTGGGTGAGTTGAGAAAAAAGAGAAGTACTTAAAAGACTTGTTACTCTTAGCAAGGACAGAGGCAGTAGAGACTAGGCAGGGAGAGTGGTCAGAATCTCCAGGTGGATCAAAAACTGCCACAGCTTCAGGGAAAGCATCTCTCCAATGCTCATTAATCAAGGCCCTGTCAAGTTTGCGTAAAATTGGATCTTCTTCTCTTCCATTAAACCAGGTGAAAAAAGTACCCCTGCAAGGCATGTCTGACAGCTCATTATCGGCTAAACAATCTTGAAACTCAGAAATTCCAACAATAGGAAGAGGGTGAGTGATAAGTGAGTAGTGTTCAGAAGCTGATAGTATTTGATTAAAGTCTCCAAGCAGCATTAACGGTCTTGAATTAGCTGGAGAGTTTTGAACAATTCTAGAGATATCCTCCCATAGCAATCTTCTCTGAATGATGGTGTTGTAACCGTAGACAAAAGCAACAGAAAAATTCTCCTTGGTAGTAGGTATATACACGCCACATAATATAATCTGAGCTGACTTATATAGGCAAACCACAGAGATAGAAGGATCCCAAACCACCCAGATCCTTCCATTCTCAGCAAAATCATAGTTCATTTCCCCTCTCCAACCCGGAAAGGAACTATGCAAAAGTTGGACTGAATTCTCCTCTGATATATGCGTCTCTAGAATACCACCCAGTAAAGGTTTATTCTTCATAATCCAGCCTCTAACAAAACTCTGACGAGATAAACTATTTAACCCTCTGATATTCCAACAAAAGACCTTCGACATAATTAACCCAAAAGTGAAGGTAGAGCAAAGCTCTTTCAAGTTGCACTAACCGAGGACTTACCTCGATTAGGCTGAGTAGAAGACGGAACCGAGGAGATCCTGTATTTATCGGGGCCAACCAGCTTTGACTGGGAAGATTCTCCTCTCCTTTTATTACTGAACAAAACCTTTGATTCCAATTTAGCCAACTTTTTCACACTCATAACACCTGGAATCTGTTTCCTCAACCCAGTGAGTTGAGTCTTCTTCTCCTTTCCTTTAGATTTTGGACCCACAACTGTCCAAGGAATCTCAGATATCTCAACAGTCTCAGAATTTTGAACACTGAGATTTTTTTCAACTTTTTCCTTACCAATGTGTTTTTTTGCATCTCTCTCCTTAATCCATTCCCTGACCTTATCCTGAGTCTGCAGAGACATTGTCATATCTCTCTTATGACTAACTGTTTCTTCCTTAGGAGGAGAACTTCTGCTTCTCTCCTTTGATCTCTTTCTAGTGGCTGCTCTAATTCTAGTCCTTTTCTGAGCTTCAGAAAAACCTTCAGCCCCTTCAGCAATCTTAGCAGTCTGATTTGAGTTAACAACCTTCCACACTTGTTTCTCTTTTGAGCCATTACCTAGAGAGATATTCGTTGCTGCAACAGCAGTACCAGTTGGAGTGAATTCATCAGCCCTAAACTTCTTCTTCATTTGGGGTTTTGGACACCTATTGAGGAGATGACCAAATCTACCACAATTACAACACTTTGGTGGCAATCTAGGGTAGGAGACATTAACTCTCACTGAGTTGGACAAAGAATCCCTAACTATGATGGTAGTTGGTGGGGACTTCTCTAGAGAAATTTCAACTTTCACCTTGGTATTACCAAGATTAAATGGATCCAACTTAGACTTCTCAGTATGCAAGGGTTCACCAATCGCACTTGCAATAACGCTGATGCCGTCTAGCGAGTACATCTGAGGAGGAATATTGTGAAGAACGGCCCAAGTAGGCGCACTTTCGAGTTCCTGCATTCCAAGGGAAGCATTTACCGACCAAGGAAAAACAGAAAATGCGCAATTACCAGCTTGCCAGTAACCCACTTGCAGGACCCATTCACGAGTTGAAGAACACGGTATTAATATGAGACAGGAAGTATCAGAGACATTACGAATGACTATATTACCAAACTTTCCCCAAACCGGATTCAGATCTGTAAAAATCTTCTTCGGATGAGGAATGAGGCCGTGGAATTGCGCCACGATGTGTCCTTTCCACTGAACTGCCGTTTTCAAAAGCACAGATTCAGGAGCTTGGACGACCGGAGTACCATCCTCAACCAACACCGGAGAGGATATCTTGCGGAGATTTCGAAGAGAAGACTTGAACCGCTCTGCGAGAGTGGGCGCTGCGGTAGAAGTCTCTGCTTGCTGTGACGAGTCTGGGAGCGACGCCACTGAAGAAACAGCAACGACGGCGGCCACTGAAGAATCAGCAACGACGGCGGCCATTGAGGAGGGCGCTAGGGAATCCAGCGGTGACAAATCGGGAGGATCTGGCGGCACTTCCACCACAGAGCCAAGGATCTTCATAAGACAGAATTGAAGGAGGAGGGAGAAAGGAGATGTTCTCGGCGACCGGCGAGAGGCCGATCTCCGGTGGAGATCGTGAGATGCAGATCGCCCTAATTTCGCCTTGGCACGTCTACCGAGGAGATCTAGCTTTTCACACCATATCATCGACGCCTCTACTTAACTTGCATGTTAGTAATCGTCAAGCATTGGAGGTTTTTTTTACCTGCAGAGCCAAGCGACTAGTGGAAAGAGTATTGAAGATCATGAATTTGATCATCAAGATTTAGACTTTTCAAAAGCAATTTGGTGTTTGTAGAAAGAATGTTCACAAAAAACGCACCTAAAATAGTCCAACAGCTTGATATGCTAACTGTTAAGGATAAATGGGTGAATGAATTGGTAAATATGAATAATAACAATCGTGAAATTGCATAAGCGTTCTTAAAGAAAAAATAATGCTTTATACTAAAAAAACATGGATTGATTTGTTTTTAGTTAGTATGGATATCCTGAAAAAAATATTAGGCGAAATATGTGGATAGAAAATAAAAAACCAATTTATGAGACAATGTATTTTGAAACATGTGCACTAAATACAGAACATGTAAATTCTACTTATTTTTTAATTTCTAATTAAATATATAAAAAAAATTGTATAGTATGTACTCATGTATCCTACTGATACGTATTACAAACAGTGTTCAAGAAATCGCCCTAGGCGGCCGCCTAGGCGCTAGGCAGTGCTTGTCCGTCCCGATTTCATTGTAATCGGCTCTAATAGGCGGACGGTTTGGTTAGGCGAGTTTGGCGGCGGTTAGGCGGGATTAGTCGGTTTTGTCCGCCTAAATTTCTAATTTTTTTTTTTAAAAATAACTTCTCTAAACGACGTTGCTTTTAGGATTTTAATCTAATTCTTCAAACTGTGTCGGTTTTCGACTTTTCATTAACCTAAAAGGAAAAAAGAACGCCTCCCAAAACATTGTAGACATCGACAAGTCGTATTCATCTTCTTTGCTTTTGAATTATGACCTTCTCGTAGAGCGATTCTGGTTGCTTCTCAATCGCTGTTTCTATTTCTCTGACGGAAACAATACTCTGTGCTCTAAAAGTCCAAATAATTGGTGATTTCTTCTCAACAGTTTTTGTATCTTTATTCACTTAAATAATGATTTTTTGCTCGTTGTTTGTTCATGAAGTTATCTTGTTTTTCAATAGAATTTATAATAACAATTCTACTGTGATTGGTCCTTTGTTACAAAGTAATATAATATGTTCTACGAATCGCGATCAATTTACAAAATGATTCTAGTTATGTGGAATTGTCAAATTCTAATTTGCTTGTGGAATATGATGTGAACATGCTTCTTCGTGACTCTTAGCTTTTTTTTTTGTGTGCAAATCTTCGTGAGTCTTAGCTTTAGTGCTAGTAATCAAGTTCTTTATTAATTAATTAGTTATCAAACTTGTGGTCGTCTTTTTTATGTTGACTGGTTTCTTTTCTTTCAAGTCTATAGGTTATGGCTTCGTCATCGGCAACAGATTCTACATCAGTTCCAGAGACTACAAATTTGCAGAGAAAATCAAATGATGTTGGTTGGGAATTTGGCATGTTGATAAATCCCAACAATTTGGACAAAATGAAATGCAAATTATGTGGAAAGGAGTTTTCAGGAGGAATATATAGACTAAAGCAACATGTTGCTAGAATACAAGGAAATGTTGCAGCTTGTCCAAACTCTAAGAAAGAAGACCAAGAAAAGTGCAAGTTAGCAATTCTAGAAGCACAAAACAAGAAGAAAAGAGTTCGGATGGCAGATTTGGAAACTCGAAAGATGGTAAATGTTGATGGAAAACGAGAGGAGGATGAAGAAGTAATTGAAGTAGAAGGAATGGGAGCAAACAAAAGTGCTCGCATGCTTGGTCCGATGGATAGATTTACTTCAGGCATCAGTCCTGAAACTCCTAAAGGTCCAATATTGACACCACAACAACAACATATCAAGAATCTTATTGCAAAAGAAAGATTACATGCGGTACATCAATATAATAGTATTTTATTGAAATTCCGCCTAAACCGCCTATTCAGATTATTTTATTATGTTATGTTATATATTCAGATTATTTTATTATGTTATGTTATATATATAATTATATATATATATATATATATAATAGTATTTTATTCAGATTATTTTATTATGTTATGTTATATATATATAATAGTATTTTATTGAAATTCCGCCTAAACCGCCTAAAAATCGCCTAGGCCCCGATTAGGCGTTCTAGGCGCTAGGCGGAGGGTCGCCGCCCGCTTAGCGCCTAGCGCTTTTTTGAACACTGATTACAAATGATGAAAATATTGCTTAAATATTATGTATACTAGCTGTTTCTAATAGCTTTTTCATGATGCGGAACCATCTCGTTGTTGTTGAATGATTATGTATATTTAATCTTCCATTGACTATAACTATTCTTGTGATAGGCTTTTGCTGAGTTATTGCAAGCTCCTCAAGAGGATTCCCAGATGCTAGTCCGTGAGCGTTTCCCTGTCCCAAGATTAGTTGTCTGTGATCAGCACGGCTCGCAGGTCATTCATCTTATCAATTTGTTATCATGTAATTGTCAGCTTCAGTTTTGTTTGTGCATCTCATTGGATTCGAATGGGAAAATGCAGGCAAGGTTTTTATTGGCAAAGCTGAATCCATCAGCGACGTACAACAATGCAAACGAAATGTCGACAGGGTCAGATGTGATATTCACAGACGACGTTAGCCTTCAAGTCTTCTTTGAACATCTTCAGAAGCTGGTAGTGCAGTCTTGAGTAGTCCTTTTGTTTCTTTACTTTACATTAAATTAAACTTCAGTTTACACCATTTTTTTTGTAATCATGTTACTTTCATCTACTATCATTATTTTGTTTTTTCTTTGATAAAATTTTTGTAACATTACTTTTCTGTTTTTGTTTCAAGGACTTAGATATACAAAGGGAGAAGAGATAAAATATCTCACTGCATTCCCGAGGAAATTTTATAAACTGAGACATCAACAAAAATATGAATTATTAAATAAATATAATGAAAACTTGAATGAAAACTTTTGTAGAATTACTACCAGAAAAAAAGTCAATAGCGTCAATTAATTTGCATCAACAAAAATTATATTTCATATCAGTTGCAATAATCAATGCCATTATTGATTTGTCTTGCATCATTTTACTAAAATTGATACAAATCTAGATCTATTTGCATCTCTTTTACAATATTAATACAAATATATGAATTTCCATCATTTAGAAAATGATACAAAATTTAAATCAATAAAAATCGATGTCAATTAAAAATTGAGCACCGATTGTAAAAACCCACATCGCTCCCAAGGGAAAGAGAGGTTCCATAATTTTCTTATATATAGTGATCTAAGTTTTCTTTATAGTCTCAAAGAAGTGTAAAGCAAAATAAGTAACTATTATCCCAAACAAATTTGATTGTTTGCTTTTATATTAATTAATAAAATTAAAAAATATTTTTTCTTACAAATTAATTTAATATATATAAAAAATGGTTTGCTGATGTGGACACTTTAGATGAGAGAAGACTCTCTAATTATATATATGATTACCATCATTGATATAAAGAAGAATATATTATATTATTATAATTGGTTGTACATATGATTTTAATCAAAATATAGAGAACAAAAAGCATGGATTGACTGAACCAGATATAAAGAAATAGTCAATAAAAAAAATTATATAATAAGATAACAAAAGCCTGTGGAAATCCCCTTGGCCCATTGGTTGACCAAGGGTTGATTAATGCTTCTACACTAAGAGGTCTGGGGTTCGAGTCCTAGATATTGCGATTTATTATCAAATTTGCAGATTAATGGAGGCAAGTGTGCAGGAGATCTCCAGCGATGTACAATTATAGCCGTGCGCCAGGATTCTACGCAGGGAAGGAAGTGTCGCCAGGTCGTGGATCATTGAAGGTATTCATCAAGATCATGAAGAAGGAAGTGTAATCTGTCGTGGATCTACTAAGAGTCGGCAGAAATTGTCAGTTGGAGAATCGTCTATGTAACAGTTCTCATAATTTGTAATTAATAATAAATCTAGACGACAAAAAAAAAGATAACAAAAGCCTAATGGGCCGTAATACATCCTCAGACCTAAATATCTGAACTGACTTGGCAGAAGCAAAACAAACAAGAAAAAGCCCAACATTTTTATATGGCCGACTAGAAAGTCAATAAATATAAAGAGCCCGCTTACTTCTTATTATTATTATTATGCCCTATTTTTACTTCTGCCGGAACGGAACGGAAAAAGCAAAAGAAATCGAAAGGATTCGGAGGTGAGTTTGTTTTTCCACGAATTTTCATGTGAATATATCGATTCGTATGAATTCTGAATTGTTGTTTTGATAAATTTTCAAAGGGGGATGAAATCAGAAGGGACCTCCGGTGTTCTCCGTCTTAACGTTCCAGTGCCACCGGCGGTGTTGAGATATTTTCCATATGGTACAGGGTTAGTCGTCTTGTTACTTGCTTATTAGTCTTTAGAGAGTTTGCTTCCTCAGGTTTCACAATATTTTTTTGTAGGAGCGGCTCTGGGAAGGAGGACATGAAACAGGATGTTATACGACTTGGAGTTGAGCTCTCTGTGTATGTCTCTGAATCCATGTTCTTGCTCTGTGATGACATCCGTACTATGTTATGGTTCTGCGCTACGTTATGGAAATGTGTTATGCCTGACCAGGATCACGTCTTACAAAGGCTGCTTCTTGTTATGCATTATGTCTACTCCACATATATCAAACCCAAGAACCTAGTGTATCATGATGATGGCAACTCGGTCCAATGGGGATTGATCCGGACTACTTGGGAGCTTTTTGTTGACGGAATCATCGTTTTGCATCGCCTTGTTTTGGTTCTCAGTAGAAAAGATTGCTCTTTTGATGATCGAGTACTATCCTCGGCTTTTGCAAAATACAAGCAAGTCCTCAAGAATCTAGAGGTTAAATTGAGTTCCACAAAGGATGTTTCTGAGGCTAATGGGTTTGTGAGGGAGACCATTGAGTCTAACATTTTTGACCTGTGGAAGTCTCTCTTCGATGAAGAAGCTGGCGAAGCGGCACCCCAAGTGATCAGGACTAGGATTTTAACCGACCTGTTTACGCCTCTTTTTTGCAAACCAATCCATAGAGAGATGCTGGCACTGTCTCCACATTCTCCTTACATTTTAGGGTCAGTAATATTATTACTTTTGAGAGTTTGCTCAATCTTCTTCTTCGTATTGACATTTTGTTTTGCAGGTTTGATTTTGCAAAGCAGGAGCTGAAAGAGGAGGTTGTGCGACTTGGAGTTGAGCTCTCCCTATATGTGGCTGAATCGATGTATTTGCTGAGTGATGACATTCGTAGCATGTTGCGGTTCTGCTTGAAGTTATGGAGAGATGCAAAAGGAGACGTGTTGATTCCTGATAGTCCCGTGGTGGAAAGGCTGCTTCTTGCTATTCATTATGTCTACTCAAAAGATATCAAACCCAAGCATGGAGGAGTGTATCAGAATGATGGCAAATCGGTCCAGTGGGAATTGATCAGGACCACTTGGGAGAATTTTGATGCTGGAATCAGAGATCTGGATCGCCTTGTTTTGATTCTCAGAGGAGAAGGAACCTGTTTTGATGGCAGAGAGTTCACGTCTAGAATTGAAGAAGCACTGAGGAAGGTAGATGACAAGTTGAGATGTGCCAAGGCTGTTTCAGAGGCGAAAGGGTTTGCGAGAGAAGCTATGGAGACTGACATTGGGGACTTGTGGAAGTCTCTCTTTGACAAAGAAGCTAAGGAAGTGATGAAGCATGAGATTTTTTGGGACCTGTTTCTCCCTCTATGTATGGAGGCAGTACCACATTAACAAACTGCTAGTAGGGGATAAGAGGTCTGTGACATTTGAATTCCTAATTTGGCTGCTCCAAACTGTATTGATTGATACCAACAAGTGAAGCTTATGCTTTTATTTGTTGATGAGTCAACTTGGTTGGTTTAGTAAATTAAGTTTTTTGCAAAGATAGCTCTGGTTATTGTTCAAGTAAACAAGAGAAGAGTGATATCATATAGATCAAGCCACCAACTCATGGCTAAGGATGAGAGCTTATCAGATTCACTAGCCACTCACAAGGGTTTCTGGTTAATAATGCCAGGTGCAAGGACAGAGGAGGAGATGCAAAATATCCAAATCTTCTGAACTTGTCGGATACCTCTAGCTGAATTCTCGCAGTTGCGATTCCACTTTGTTGCCAAGCAAGTCATCGACTTTTTGTTGAAGATTTAGAGAGAATCTTGGTCTCTTGTGAAAGTTTTGTCTACACTTGTGGTCTGCCGTCTGCAAATAAACTTTGATTAAGGAACATAATAATGTCACTGCATCTAGCTTTTTCCCCAAGAGAAACGGTTTAGGGCTTTTGTTCTGAAATGTGGTAAACATTCAATTTCTAGAGGGAAGATTTATGTTTCGAAATCAACAGTGCAATTAGAAGAACAGACAGAAGAAAATTTTACCTCTTCGTATTTCTGGGTAAGACCAAGCCGCTCGAGACATGTCCGGTCTAAATACCGCCATTGTTTCCTACTGCGCGGGCACTGAGGTTCCGGTTCGACGACCCTTGAAAGAACTGGGGGGTAAATTGGTCAAAACAATTTGTTACTTTTTGTTGAGGGCAAATCGGAGAATTCGCCCAAATTTGTTTGATACGCTCGCAGAGAGACTGAGGGCAAATTGGAGAATTCGTCCAAGTTTGTTATATCATTCTTCCCCCCCAAACCCTCTCTGTCTCTTTCTTCACCGTCAAGTATCAGTTCGGGAGCAGTCTAGAGAACAGAATCGCTGGTGAAGAGAGAAACTTTAAGCATGCTTCGGTTTTGAGGAAGAATTACGACACTATTTTCACCGATTCAGGTATCTCTAACCCTAAATTGACTCCATTTCACTTTGCGACTGTGTTTAGTGGACGAAATTTCATGTTCGATGTTCGATTCTCAGATGTTGGAATCTGTGAGAGGTTCGATTTCTTCGAGTTTTAGGGTTCTTTTGTCGCAATTACTGTTACTGATTTCCTTCTTTCACTTTAGAGAAAACAATCGTACGTCGCTGGTTTTGAGGAAGAACTACGACACTATCTTCACCGATTTAGGTATCTCTAACCCTAAATTGACTCCATTTCACTTTGCGACTGTGTTTAGTGGACGAAATTTCATGTTCTATGTTCGATTTCTTCGAGTTTTAGGGTTCTTTTGTCGCAATTTTTGTTACTGATTTCCTTCTTTCTCTTTAGAGAAAATTAACAAGCGTACGGTCGCTGGTGAAGAGAAATGAAGGAAGCATAAATTCGTGATTTTTACGATCGTCTTTCTCAAGGTGTGTTGTTTTTTTCATGATTCAAGTGCGAAACTTTCTGCTCACTGTTGTGAATTTTACTTTCTTTCTACTATTGGGATAGGTTTGATCTGCGAGGAGATTTTTTTGATTTGGGGTAACGTCTTGATGAGGTTCTTCTGACCAAATCCATTGTATTGTTGGAGAATATACAAACAAAAAGTTGAGGCGCAGGAGTTAACTATTGCAAGTAAGGAGGTTTTGTCTTCTTTACTACATATAGTTTTTGCTTTGCAATCAACTGAATTCTTTGGAATTTGTATGTTTTCATGTCTCATTTGTTTGGTTTATGCCATCTGAAGTTTCACTGCACTTGGAGAGGTTCAAAGATGCGTGTTCCAGCAAGAATTACAGTACCTGTAGAGAAGTCTTGTCTCGCCTCAAGGTATCGATTCACTTTGAAGAATTTGAGGATTTTGAGCTTGAGGTTGATTATGCTAAAGGGTTCCATTCTTCTTTAGGATATTATCGATGAAAAGGAAGCCCAAGAAGGACTAACTCTGCCACAAACTCATGACGAAACTGAAGATAATGAGCATGTTGAAGAGCCTCAAGACTTTGATAACAACGAGCAAGAACAGATTGGTGACCAGCTAGACTTTGATAACAACGAGCAACAACAGATTGGTGACCAGCTAGACTTTGATAACAACGAGCAACAACAGATTGGTGACCAGCTAGACTTTGATAACAACGAGCAACAACAGATTGGTGACTTTTTTGATGGAATACCTGAAGAAGAAAACGACCTTGAAGATCACCTAGGTTTTTCAAAACTACCTTTGGACGATAACTATCTTAAGCAAAACCCTTGGGGATATTTCACAACTGTGAAAACTTCTGAAGAGTTGCAAAAGAACCAGAAGCGAGGTGGAGCAAAGGCACAGAAGAAGCGCGGTGGAGCAAAGGCACAGCAGAAGCGCGGTGGAGAAAAGTCACAGCAGCAGCTCAATGAGGAGCCTCTACGTCGATCTGAACGACGCCCTACACCTACTAAAAGGGTAAGTAGACTCGTTGGATAACTTTTCTTTTTGTATTTTCAGAACTAATTAGAAGTTCATGTGTTTTAGTTGCTTGAAAGTTTGGGACAGCGTGATTCTGAAGAGGAAGAAGAATAGTGAAAGCGTGATTCTGAAGAGGAAGAAGAATAGTGAAAGCGTGATTCTGAGGATTTGACTGGATGACAGCTACTTGATCTTGTGGTTTGACTGGAAGTTAACTCATGATACCAATAGATTACAGCAAAAACACAATTCTTTGAGTATCTCAAGTTTTTCTAAACTCACTAGAGAAAATCTCAGTCAAGAAGAAGAATCTCATTGAAAGAATCTCATTTTTACACGGTAAAATTTGCAGAAGAAGACTAGTTTGGTGGATGGCCAGAGAAAAATGGTAGTTCAAAAAACTTTCTGGTGAAATAATTTCTAATAGATAGATAAAAGCAAGAAGAAACTAGTAAGTCGTCTAATGTTTTGTTTCATCTTCTTGTTTCAAAAGAGGCTGAAACAGGTCAGAAAGAATCTCATCCCTTATCATTTCCCGATACCATGCTTCCTTGGTTTCTCTGTTAAAGAGAGACTTCCACAAGGCCAAAATGTTAGACTCCATCACTTCTCTCGCAAACCCATTCGCCTTTGAAACATCCTTGGCACACCTCAACTTTTCCTCCACCTTCTTCAATATCCTTTTACTTCGATAGTCAAATAAATGTCGTGTAGATCTCTGATTCCTTCATCAAAATCCTTCCAAGTGGTCCTGATCAATTCCCACTTGCCCAATTTGCCACCAGTATGATATACTCCATTCTTCAGTTTGATGTTTTCTGAGTAGACATAATGAATAACACGAAGCAGCCTTTCCATCACCGGACTTCAAGGTTTCAGGTCCCTTTTTACATCTCTCCATAACATCAAGGAGAAATGTAACATACTACGAATGTTATCACACAGCAAGAACATCGATTCAGCAACAAATAGCGAGAGCTCAACTCCTAGTCGCACAATCTCCTCTCTCATCTCCTGCGTTGCAAAATTAGACCTGCCAAAACAACAAAGAAATGTCAAACATGAAGACTTACTTTATTATATATGTAACCTGAGTGAGTTAAAGAAAAATTCTGAAACAATATAAGGAGAGTATACAGGTATTGTCTGTATCTCGCTATGCCATGATTCACCCAAAATAGGCTGAAACAGTTCGCTAAGAATCCTATCCTTTATCACTTTATGTGTTGCTTCGCCAGCTTCTTCATCAAAGAGTGACTTCCACAGGTCAGAAATGTTAGTTTCCCTTGCAAAACCATTAGCGGCTGAAACATCCTCTGCAGACCTCAATTTATCCTCTAGCTTCATCAGCACTTGCTTGTACTTTGCAATAGCCAACGATAATAGTCGATCATCAAAATGAGAGCTATCATTTCTTCTGAGAACCAAAACAAAGCGATGCAAAATTATGATCCCGTCAGTAAAATCCTCCCAAGTGGTCCTGATCAATCCCCATTGGACGGATTGCCATCATCTTGATACACTCCGTTCGTTGGTTTGATGTCTTTGAAGTAGATATAATGAATAACACGAAGCAGCCTTTCTGACACAGGATCTTAGGGACGTATAGTATATTTGCTTAACTTAAAGCAGAACAAAACATAGTAGGAATATCGTCACAGAGCAAGAAGATGGATTTAGCTACAGAGAGTGATAGCTCAACTCCTAGTCGTACAACCTCCTGTTTCGTGTCGTCCTTCCCAAAGCCGCTCCTACAAAACCAAAATGTCTAGTACTAGTACACATTTTGATTCCATCTCTGCTCCTCTAACGGCTTTTGTAGTCTATTAATACTTTTTTAGGCTTTTAACAAAATTTTGGCCCATTTTTCGGCCCATTAAGACAAGGTTTTTGAATTTTCTCTTTGAAACCCTCAAGTGTTTTTTTTATGCTTGGTCGATCTTTAGCCGTCTCCATCATCAAAATCAATGGAGGAAGAAGAAGCGAGAGAAGTGGTGATCGATAATGATCTAAAGAAGAAGATCAAGGAAACAGTGAAGAAGATCCTGAAACGTTCGAGCTTACTTGAGATTACAGAGATTAAGGCCCGAGAAGAAGCTTCCGCTGAGTTGGATCTCGATCTTTCGCGAGATCCGTACAATCTAATCATCAGAGAAGCCGTCGATACTTTCATTGAAAAGGCGATAATGACAATCGAGACTGAGATGGGGAAGCTTCACACTCAGATCGTAGACGATGTCGATGGAGGAGGAACCGAGAAAACAACGAAGACGACGACGAAGAAGAAAACAAAGAAGAAGAAGAAGGTGGAAGAAGCAGAGTCATCAGCTGCTTAGGTAAAGTGTCATTAGTTGAAATTAGTGTTTTAGCCATTGATAGAGTGCTCAAAGTCAAAAGTGTATCAAACTCTGTAACATGATGATCCATCAACAGCTTATTATTGGGCTTCTATATGTTTTGTTACTTAAAAATTGATGATTGTCTGATTCATTATTATGCATTTAATTTGCAAAACATTTCTTTGTTTTTTGTTAAAATTGATATTCAAAAGACTCAAAAGTGTATCAAAATGAAACTTGTTTTTCCAATGTTATAGGTTTTTTGTTATGAAAATGCATTACATTTGTAGCAACCCTTCAAATGAAAATGACATTTTGCATATCTTTCTTTGGGTAGAGATTTTGACATTTGCATATAGATAGGAGAGACAATTAGAAGATTGATTGTCAAGAATCTGATGTACACACCACGTAGCTTACACTGAAGCCACAAGTACACTTTGTGGTGGTCGTCACTCTAATTCTCATTATAATCGTTTCACAATTATTCATGGACTCGAATAAATCCACAATTGTATACTAAGCATTATAGGAAGAATACAAATTGATGCAAAAAATATTTAGATAAGAGACCGGTCTAAGACCACACAAAATGCTACCCTTCATTTTCTTGCTTTCTTCATATAATAAACACAAAAACCACATACTACAAAGAAAACTGAACAAAATTTGAAGAATTAAAATGGGGTGTACATCGTCCAAGCAAGTGAAAGCTAACGTCGTCGCCGATGTTTACAAACCACCGCCGTCAAGTTTCGCCGTGTTTGATGTCAACGCCATCCAAGAGCCATGGCTAAAATTTGAACATGAAGATGATGAGAAACCGCCACGCTCCACCGTCTTCGACACTCTCGAGGAGGATGATGATGATGATGATGATGATGACGCTCCAAAAACATGGGATGAAGTCAGCAAATCTCTAGAAACTAAACTTAAACCTGCCGCCGATAAACCGCCGGAAGTTGTCTCCGTTAAACCTCCGGCAACTCCTCCACGACGGCTTCCGCGGAAGAGCGCATCGTTCCACACACTGGACGAGCTTGAAACCAGGGCCAAAAGACAAATCGCCGCGCAAATCCCGACGACGGTGGTTAAGCTTAAGAGAACCGAGTCGATGTCCGAGCTAAGACCCGAGTCAGATGATCGGACGGAGTCCACTCAGTCGTCCTACTCAGGGCCTCGGTCAGTGAAGGAGAACATATTCGTCAAGAGAGACAGAGAACGGAGGGAGAAAGAAGGGAACAAGAAACCGGTGATGAACTGGGACCCACTTAGGGAGTTCCCGGAGAAGTGTCCTCCGCGAGGAGGGGAAGGTTTGGTTGTCTACACGACGTCATTGCAAGGAGTGCGTCGCACGTACGAGGATTGCATGCGTGTGAGGGCCATCATGGAGCAGCAAGGAGTGGTGGTGGACGAGAGGGACGTGTCTTTAGACGCCGGAGTCTTGAGCGAGCTTAAGGAGCTCCTCCAAGACGAAGCATCGGTGGCGCCGCCGAGAGTGTTTGTGAAAGGGAGGTATTTGGGAGGAGCGGCGGAAGTGACAGCGATGAATGAGCACGGGAAGTTAGGGAGGGTGTTGAGGTGGGCACGTGTGGAGAGAGTAGGGGAGGAAGGGAGGCTCACGTGTGAAGGGTGCGGAGGAGCGAGGTGGTTGCCTTGTTTTGAATGCGGCGGAAGCTGTAAGGTGGCTGCGGTTGGGGCGGCTAAAGGTGAAAGGTGGGAGAGGTGTGTCAAGTGTAATGAGAATGGATTGATTCGTTGTCCCGTTTGTTTTGTTAATTAAGAACATGAATATAGTTTACACAAGCAAATAGAGGTGTGTCAAATATACGTTGTCTTGTTTGTTCTGTTATATGTATGCGACAGGTTTGATTATTTCTTAATGTGGCAAATTGAAAATGATTTGAAACTAGGCTCTAGGATCTTAAACAAAATGTTAAAGCATGCATGAGAATCATTCTAATGCTAGCTTCAATGGTCTCTTACTTGTATATGTTTATGGTTTTGATCATTTACATAAAGGTGTTGAACAAACACTTGTCCAAATCTGTTATCAATTTATTTTGAAGAAGAAACAATTGTTTTCTTTGTTGTCATCATTCGTGTCAAATTGACTGATTTGATATGCTTTCGTTGAGGATCTTTTGCAATGAAACAGAGTTGATATGAATTCCGTCATGATGGTTTGTATATGGCAAATTGGTGTTAATTTTATATTCTGTTTTTGAAGTATGCTTCTCAAACTTAGCTTTAGAATTTCTCACACTCTGTTACAGTAGAAAACAGAGCAATGCATAAAAAAAGATAAATTGAAGCAGAGCCAAATAAAGATAGATTTACTTTTGTTCTTCCAAAGAAACCAAAAAAAGAATCCGACTTTTTTCTTCACACATACACAATGTTCATGGTCTCTTCAGTTGTACTTTCTCTTCTTTATCTTGAAGGAAGATGATCGGATAATGTCATCGTCGGCAGTGAGAACGGTCTCGAGCGGAGTTATTGACTCGGGTTTGGTGAAGTAAGTGAAGAGAAGGTAGATTCCATCCAGGTAAGTGTTGGTTTCTCCAGCTTTGTTCTTCTTTCTAATGCTGTAAGCTAATGGAATCACTCCTCTGTTGAACACTTCCACATACATTCCACCTCCTGCCACAAGCAACTGCCACACACACCAGAAAAACAGTGATATAACAAATCTTTCAGAGTCTGTACCACGTAAAAAACTTCCACTACTTCGAACCCGACACAAATTTAAGAATTCTGATTTGATTAAACATGTGATATAGCGTAAAGAATCCACAAATGATAACTGTGTATTAGCTCGTTTTGAGCATCAAATCATCTGGAAATTTCAAGAATTGAGTAAAAATGTTAAGGTAAAACATAACTAAGAAGTGCATTAAGGGCTCCTATCTAGTTTCCAGTGGTTGAGACTTAAAGAATTCACAGCCCACAGAAGGATGAGATTGCTCTTGGAAAGCTAAACTCTTTACTTCAATTTTAACAATGAGTTGTCACAAACATTCAATTGATAAGAAACCAATAGCTGCAAATTACTATCAACTCTACATTGAAACCATTTTCTCTTGCTTTGTCATTAACGTGTAAGAACAGACACAAGATGCAACTTTTAGTGAATCTCTTACCTATACTATGACACAAATTTTCGAGTCAGAAAAATGTAAGTAAGATCAGTTTCTAATTGAACCCCATCTCAAATTACCTAACTTTCCCTCTGACATGAAACAGAAAAACAGGTAAATTTGGAGACTTTTTAATTACCTCTTCGTATTTCTGGGTAAGACCAAGCCGTTCATCTTCAGACATGTCAGGTCTCAAAACCGCCATTGTTTCGTACTGCCTGAGCCCAGGTGGGCACTGAGGTTCCGGTTTGTCCTCAAGGGCAGTTGAGACTCCCGACCCGGGAGGAGAAGTCGGGTCATCATCCGACCCGAATCCACCTTCAAAGAAAGTTCCGGAGAAATCAAGAGCCTGAGATTTCACCACAAATTGAGAGCCATCTCTCTTCTGCTGTTGTTGTAGCGAGGCACAAATAGGTTTGGACTTGGAAATGAATGGTCTGAGAGAGTGAGAGAATGAGAGCAGCGGCTGCGAAGATACATTAGGCAGAGGGCAAATTGTGGAATTCGATAGACATAGCGAAGACGCAACCATTGTTGAGAGCTTAGTACAAGTAAACACAAGAGTTTGGAGAAAGCAAAGAGACGATGAGGGTAATTTGGATAAGAGATGATGATGGTACACGTTAGTCAGAATGCTATTGTACACTGTGGGCCTTTTTTAGATTGATTCGGCCTGTTAAAGGCCCATTTTTTGTAAAGACATGTTTTTTTATCTTCGCGATCAAGCCAGTTCTCGGAGCAATCAAATCTATAAGAAAAGAATCGTCGCCGGTGAAGAGAAAGAGAGAGCTCAAGCAATGGATCCGCAGCTAACGGAAGTTTCACAGCAGTTCGAGAGATTCAAGGCGGCGTTTGCGAGGAAGGATTACAATACCTGTAGTGATCTGTTGTCTCAGCTTAAGGTCTCTCTCTCTCTCTTTGAACCCTAATTTGCTTCGATTTCACTTCTTTGCATATCTGCTTAACAAACGAACTTTAGGAAAATTGATGGGCTATGTCGGAAGAGTTTGAATCTATGAGAGCTTTGATTTATACAAGTGAGAATTTTTAGCATTTAAATGTGTTTCGGATCTTTTGGTAGAGCTAAGTGCTGCGGAAATTTTTACTTTCTACTTTAAGGGATTGTTATTGTGTATAGAGAACATGTTGTCGGGATTGGTTTAGATTTACTATTTACTGGTGAGAGTTTCTGATTTCGGTGGGTTTATGTTATTTTCTTCAGGTTCTTCTTACCAAATTCACAAGTCTTCCTCCATTGTTCGAGAATTCACCTAATGCAGCCAAGGAATTGACTATTGCAAGTAAGTTTCTGTTTTTATTGTCGGGTTTACATTGAGTTATTGCTAGTAAGTTTAGATTTTTGCTTTGCCTTCAATTGCATGGTGTGTTTCGGATGTGTCTATTCCCATGACTTATTTGTTAACTATATACTTAATACCACCCAAGGGTCACAAAATCTGAGGGATTATATCAGATTATTCTCTTCTTTAGTTTGTCGGGACGATGTAAACTTTTTGATTGCTGTTTACTGCGTATACATTAATTGTTGAATGCTGCATTGGTTTGGATTTAGTTATTGGTAATTTTTTTGTTCTTATTGATTATCCCCTTCTAAAAATTTGACAATTGGTGAATTCTAGGGGACATTTATGAGCATGCTGTTGTTCTAAGCGTAAAAACCGAGGATCAAGATGCTTTTGAGAGAGATTTCTTCCAGTTGAAACCTTACTATGTGGATGCCAGGTGAAGAAAGAACCAACTGTCTGATCATTATGCTTTTCAATTTGATGCATTGTTTTCTTTTTTGTTCTAACATATCTTCTTTTCTTCTGCACCAGGAACCGTATTCCCTCATCTCCACAGGAGAATCTTATCCTGGGTCTTAACCTTCTGAGGCTGCTTGTACAAAATAGAATTGCTGAATTCCACACCGAACTTGAATTACTTTCATCAGCTACACTGGAGGATCCTTGCATCAAGCATGCAGTAGAGCTTGAGCAGTCCTTCATGGAGGGTGCCTATAACCGTGTGTTGAGTGCTAGACAGACCGCGCCTGATGCAACTTACGTTTATTTCATGGATCTCTTGGCAAAGACCATAAGGTAGCATCAATGAGTCCGTCCTTTTCTGAATTTGTTCAGTCTTATGTCTTCTCGCGTGTATCTCACCTCTTTATTGTTATGACTAAATTATCAGAGATGAAATAGCTGGATGCAGCGAGAAAGCTTATGATTATGTCTCTATCAGCGATGCCCGGCAGATGTTGTTGTTCTCTTCTGATCAAGAACTCTTAACCTATGTCAAAGAGGTAAAAGAAAAAACATTTTTGTGCAAGGTGTTGGAATCTTTTTTAGTTTCATGAACCGTTGACGCGATTGAAATTTGATCAAATCTTATAGGAGCACCCTGATTGGGAAGTGAAGGAAGGGTTTGTTGTCTTCCAGAAAGCCAAAGAAACTGCACCGTGCAAAGAGATTCCGTCTCTGCAACTCATCAACCAGACTCTAAGCTACGCCAGAGAACTGGAGCGTATCGTGTAAGATCCGACTTTCCTCACTGCTTGTCTCTTCTCTTCCAATTATATTCCTGGAAATCTCCGGGTCCTAAAACGTTGTTATAATGTAATGACCGACATTGAGCGATTCAGTATTTTCTCCGGGTCAATGAGACTTTGTTGCGATATCAATCTGTTCTTCCATATCCTGTTACATTATATTCTATTGTTTAGTGTTCACTCGTTTTCATTTGGATACTTGCTTCGATGCTTTGCTTGAACATGATGTCCATAATTTAGGGGTGTTCAAAGCTAGGTATAGGCGTTCGAAATATTTCGGTTTTGTTTGCGGTGGAATGTTTCAGTGCAGTTTGATTATTTGGCTTAGGTTTGGTTTAGTTTTGGATAAAAAGGATAGATTTGGAGAGCCTCTAAAGTGTAGCTGGATATGGAAGATTGAAGAAGGATAGAGTCATTACAGAACAAGGACAGACAATTGTCCATCGCCAAACACTCATCAACTTGGCAAACAAGTTGAAACAAGTGGGGATTTACGTTGCAAGCATTTCTTCTCCTTCCTTGGGGTTAAAATATTGATTAACAGCTAAATAACAAATTAGGGAAGTTATTATATCATTAGAAGAAAGAATAATCACGATTAGATGTCCCCACAAGGAAAACACGTTACTGTTAATAAATATTTATGTATTGCAAAGTAAGGATCCACTTTGGGTAAGTAGTTGAAAGTGGCTGAGTGGTTTCTAGCTTTTTTATTCATCTCCGAAAGTGAGATTCGTTTTAACATAAGTTTTTTCGTTGTTGTCAATTATTGCTTTGTTATTTGCTAAGAACATCATTATTATCGATTTAATTATAGGAGTCGTTGTTATTCTACTCACCACAACAAGCACTTAGTGCCTAATTACGTCTTAATTTTATATATTTTTAAAGCTTTTGGGCGCATAAAATATGTGCTATGACAACTTTCTTGGTGCTGGACGTGTAAGAAACGTCTTAACAACATATATTGATATAAATCAAGTAATTGTTTATTGAAATGTGATAATATTGGATTACATAAAAATCGTAATTATAAAAATGGTAAAGGATTAAATAAACCTTTACCAAAAAAATCGTCTCGGTCATAAACAATGCATTTTCAATAAAGTGATTGAATTCAAATTCATATGCATATGCAGCATATCGATTTTGTCAAGCTAATTTTCTAGAGATGGTCAATCCATATCAATATATATACTTTTAGAAACTTCCACCAAAATTACTAAAAAAGGATCCTATACTATTATTTGGGGAGTACACTTTATAAGATACCCTTAACTAACATTTCTTTTTGTAAAAATTTACTTAAGAATGTCATTATAAAAATCTTCTTTTAGAACAAATTTCATTCAATTTATTAAGGATAAATAAGTAAAATACTAATTTATGTCATTTAATTAATTTAATTAAATTATAAAACGAAAATTTGTTATTTTTTTTAAAATGACCAATCAAAATGAACATATAAGATTTGATATCTAACTTACCATATTAATTTGTTATTAATCATTAAACTTCACCTCTCATCTTAATATGAAACAAATAAATCATCATATCATATACATAATAAAAAAAAAAGTAATTTTTTTTCTGCATATGCCAAGATTTGAATTTTTAAAAACGCATATAAATTGTTCAATCTATAAAGGAAACAATTAAACTGGTCAAAAATTCAAACTTGAGTAATATATTTTTTTTACACAAAAATAAAGTCAACAAAAATTCCCACTGAGCAACGGGTCAGAATTTGAATATTTATATTCGATTTCATGCATTTATTTTTTTGAAATGTATAATTTTATATACTACAATAAAAATTTAAATATTTTAATTTGCAACATTTAAAATAAGTTTTACTTGATATTTTTAGAGAATATCATCAATACATAATAGTTCAAAAAGTTAAAAATTATAAATACTCTAATTTGATTGTTTTTAAAAATATTTATAATAGGTAGCGGGTTAAATATAATATATTATATGATGAAATGAGTTTTGATCCTTATAACTATTTGAATAGTTATATTTAATTTCATATAATTTGTTTTTTGAAATTCATAATTTTATAAACTACAAAAAAAATTTAAAGATTTTAATTTGGAATAATTAAAAATAGTGTAGAACATTTAAATATGGTTTGACACCTCTAAATATTTGAAAATTTGATTCCACAAGCAATTTTAGAATTAACGAATAATAGATTGTGCACGCAATATTTTAAAATGAAATATTGTGATTCTAAAATAAAAATATAGACTCCACGCACGGGTTAATTTTGGTATTATTATATACTAAAAAATATGTTTATAACATATTCGATTATGCGAATAATTGGTAAATTCCGTAATTATAAATCTCAAACAAATTCTGTAATTAGATTAGCTCAAACAAATCTCTATTTCAACAACCAAAGAATTATAAATTGAAAAAGAATTTTCTAAATTAATTCAAAATAATAGCTAATTTTCTTAATTAATTCAAAATAATCTATGTTTTATATGTGATTCATTTATGATATTTTAATATTTGATCTAACTGAAATATATGCAATCCTATTTTGCGGTTGTTAACATAAATTAACTCATTGTTCAAAAATTATTACTTTTTAAAAAATAAAATTATTTTATGTTTTCATATCTTAAAAAAAAAATTATCCATAATTGAGTATTTTAGAAAAAATTCTATATTTATTCTAATATTGTATATAGAGACTGACAAAAAAATTAATATTTTTTCACTTACTATTATAATATATTAAAACTTAGTTCTAATATATATATTATATAAATTTTGTAATAAATAAAATTCAACCCGTACTTTAGTACGGGTGATGATCTAGTTTGAATAGTAAAATAGCCGTAGAATTTATACTATAACCAAAAGATAATTGATTCCAACAAAAATTTGATGCTTTCTGTCCCAAAAAAAATAAATAAAGAATTTGCATGAAATGGGGAGATATTCTAGTGGTTGGGGTAAAATGGTACAGCGTGGAATCAAATATGTCAAAATAATATACTATTATTTATCCCAAAAGATTTAAATAATGTTACAACTTGTCTTCTCCTCTTATTTCTTCTCTCTTAATTATGTTTCCTCTCAGAAGCTGAATCAGAGTTTTTTTGCTTTGCCTCGGAGATTTCAAAGGAGCTCCGGCGAAACTTCCTCTGACGAGATTTTGTTTCTAATTTATCTCCCTGCTGCTGTTGATGGAACTTGACGATTTGGATCTCAGCGGTTCTTGGCCGTTAGAGCAGATCACTTTTGCTTCAAATTTCAAGTCTCCTCTCATTTTCTCTTCTTCCGAACAACCTTTCTCTCCTCTCTGGTCCTTCTCCGAAGCTTCCGGAGACGTCGGCGGCGAACTTTACTCCGCCGCTGGAGTTCCCACTCGCTTCACCGATTATTCCGTCTTACTCGCTGGTAAGTCTTCATGCTCTCTCTCTATGCAACTTTAGATTCTAGAATCCAATTCGGATAATGTAGTGGATATGGAATTGCATTGATCTAGCTAGATTAGTAGAATTTGGATCTGTAATTTATAGAATCGAACGAAATGCAGGTTCTGAATCTGAAACCATGACCAAGGAGGAGAATAATCAGGTTCCTTCTCCGTTATGGGGTATAATGCCGCTGGAGAATCCAGATAGTTACTGTGCCATCAAAGCCAAGATGACTCAAGCGCTTAGATACTTCAAGGAATCTACTGGACAACAACACGTTCTTGCTCAGGTTTGGGCGCCTGTAAAAAACCGTGGACGATATGTTCTTACAACTTCAGGACAGCCATTTGTTCTTGGTCCCAATAGTAATGGCCTTAATCAATACAGGATGGTTTCCTTGACGTATATGTTTTCCCTTGATGGTGAACGGGACGGAGAGCTCGGGCTTCCCGGACGCGTTTTCAGGAAAAGGTTACCTGAGTGGACTCCTAATGTGCAGTATTACTCCAGCAAAGAGTTCTCAAGGCTTGGTCACGCCTTGCACTATAATGTTCAGGGAACTTTGGCTTTGCCTGTTTTTGAACCATCCAGGCAGCTCTGTGTTGGAGTTGTCGAGCTTATTATGACTTCTCCAAAGATTAACTATGCTCCTGAGGTTGAAAAAGTTTGTAAAGCGCTTGAGGTTTGGTCTTGTTTCTTCTTTTTTTGTTTTTTTGGCTTCTTTATCAGTATCCTTTGATCTTCCGGTGACATTAGCGTATTCTGTTGTGTTGCAGGCCGTGAATCTGAAAACTTCGGAAATATTGAACAACGAGACCACTCAGGTTATCTGCGAGTCCATTGTCAAAAATCTCGAGTATTCTTTCAGAAACTTTCAAGAACTGTCTTGAGTTCATTTGGTGCTGTTCCTTCTCGTTTTGATCTCCATTTCCTCTTGATTTCTCCTATAGCAGATCTGCAACGAGGGTCGCCAAAATGCATTAGCTGAGATTTTGGAGATACTGACTGTGGTGTGCGAGACCTACAAATTGCCTTTAGCTCAGACATGGGTCCCTTGCAGGCATCGCAGTGTTCTAGCCTTTGGAGGTGGTTTTCAGAAAAGCTGTTCGAGCTTCGATGGAAGCTGTATGGGCAAAGTATGTATGTCTACTAGTGATTTAGCGGTTTATGTTGTGGATGCTCATGTTTGGGGTTTCAGAGACGCTTGTTCTGAACACCATCTGCAGAAGGGACAAGGTGTTGCTGGGCGGGCGTTTCAGTCTGGAAATCTATGCTTCTGTAGAGATGTTACTCGGTTCTGCAAAACCGACTACCCATTAGTACACTATGCACGCATGTTCAAGTTGACGAGCTGTTTCGCTGTCTGCTTAAAGAGCACATATACGGGGGATGATGAGTACGTTCTTGAATTTTTTCTTCCTCCAGCCATCACAGACAAGAGTGAGCAAGATTTTCTATTGGGTTCTCTGCTTCAGACAATGAAGCAGCACTATTCGAGTCTCAAGGTTGTCTCTGAAACTGAACTTTGTGAAAACAACATGTCTCTTGAAGTCGTGGAAGCTTCGGAGGATGGAATGGTTTACTCGAAACTTGAACCTATCAGGATACATCATCCAGCACCAATCTCTAAGGATTATCTTGAGCTCAACGCACCCGAACAGAAGCTGAACTTAAACTCTGACCTTATGGAGAATAATGAAGTTGATGATGGGTTTGAGAGGTTCCAAACGCTTGATACTATACCGGAGGCCAAAACAGTGAAAAAATCAGAAAGGAAGCGTGGGAAAACAGAGAAAACGATCAGTCTAGAAGTGCTTCAACAATATTTTGCTGGTAGTCTAAAAGATGCAGCAAAGAGCCTCGGAGGTATGTTCTTAACCTTGTGTATTAATTGTAATCGTTGATAACAAACTCAAAAAATTTGTGCTTTCTTTTTCCAGTTTGCCCAACAACAATGAAACGCATTTGCCGACAACACGGGATCTCACGATGGCCATCTCGAAAAATCAACAAGGTGAACCGATCTCTCACACGACTTAAACATGTTATAGACTCTGTTCAAGGTGCTGATGGGTCACTCAATTTAACGTCCCTCTCTCCTCGCCCTTGGCCTCACCAAATCCATCCAATCGAAAACCAATTACCAAAGAACTGCCCTCCAACTTCTACATCTCCCCTAAGTAATCTCCAAGATGTCAAAATCGAAAACAGAGATGCAGAAGACAGTGCAGGTTCATCAACTTCGCGTGCTTCTTGCAAAGGTAAGTTAAAGCCTTTCATCATCAACAACAACATTTATTCATACTGCAAAAATCTCAAGATTCATAACCATTGTTCTCATCTGTCTCGTGTTTCACAGTAAGTCTTATTTGCGAGACGCGTTTTCAGCTCCCAACACACAACCAAGAACCATTCAGACAAACGGGCTTGGACGATTCTGACAGTAGCTCTAAAAACATAACAAATTTTTGGACACACTTAAGTTGCCAAGATACAGCTTCTCCAACAACACTTCACAATAAGCTCGTGAGTATAAAGGCAACGTACAGAGAAGACATCATCAGGTTCAAGATCTCACCAGAGTCGGTAAGCATTACGGAACTTAAGCAGCAAGTGGCCAAGAGGCTGAAGCTCGAAACGGCAGCGTTTGAGCTCAAGTATCTAGACGACGACAGAGAATGGGTCTCGGTCTCATGCGATGCGGACCTCAGCGAGTGCCTCGACACGTCTGCAGCGAAAGCGAACACACTGAGGCTCTCAGTACATGACGTGACTTTTAACTTTGGGAGCTCATGCGAAAGCTCAGAGGCAACTATGATGTGCTTGTGACAATGCTTCACTTGTATACAACTTTCTTGTATGGATCTGAGAGTTTTGTTCCTTTTTTCTTTGTGGGAACATGTTTCTTTAGAAGAGAAGTTTTAGTGTTCTATTTTTTTAAGATGTATAAAAGCACACTTCTCCACATCAATAGATGTTGATTGGAATAATAATAATTGTTATTATTTACGTATGTGACTTAGCCTGTCACGTAGAGTGAATTGATTTCAAAATTAACATAAGTGACCAATTTTGAATAATTTAGGGGAATGACCATAAAAGAAAAAGAGGTAAAAGAGAGAAAGGTTTGATGGTCAAGATTGCTGAATACGTTGTTGTTGTCGGAGCTTGCCGCAGCCGTTTGTGAACTTAGATTTCAATGTCTCGTCTTGGTCCGTAAAGAGGGAGAGGAGATAGGCAGAGCTACCATAGGTGATCCTTGTTGTTGCAATTGAGCCACCACATCAAAGAGAGAGTGAGCATTATGATCCACTAGACGAAGTCGGATATGAAGAAGCCGCGGACTGGAGTGACAATAGAGACCGAGACCATTCCACGGTGATGGTGAGGCAGTGTTGAGTTTATTGGTATTAGATCGGAGATGGTGGTGTTGACTTGAGATCAGTCGAAGAAGAACTTAATGTCACATAACAAACGAATACTTAACATGACACTTAATGTCAATGAGACAAAGACTCACATGATAAAAACTTAAAGTCATATGCATGCATACGTATCTTTTTCATTTATTACTGTAATATTTCCCTAAAGCTTGGTCCATTACATCATATATGTATACATGCATGGTATTTTTTGTTTTGATTGGTAAATATATTATTCGTTTAATGAAGCTCATTATTTTATGAATGGTTTAAGTTTGCTTTTATGGTTTTCCTTTCCCTGGTTCATGATCTTGATTGGCTCCTGTTCGTGCATAGTCTAGATGAAACTCCACAAGCTCCCTCTCCTTTATTTCGCTACCCTCCTTAACATCATCAATACCCTTTTTTGTTCAAAAAGTTAACAATCCGAAGTTAAAACTTTCTAATCACTATCATAAAGCATGGAAAATTGGCATCAAAAGTAGGGTAAAGACTCGTGTTTACTTTATCTCACACAGCAAAACACAACGTTAACAGACCATTAAGTAACCATTTTTGACAATCATTTTTTATATAGTTTTAGAAGCAATGTGTAGTATAATCCATTAATGTTTATCTCAAACTAAGTTTCTATATATACATATGATCAAATAGCAACTTATGAACTGTGATACGCGAATCATGATATCATATAAGATACAAAAATTGAGTATATTGTATATTAAAAAACGGAAAGGAAAGAAAATTTACCTTCTCCGACCTGAGATTCACAAAATGACGAGGGGTAGCGTTTGATACATCAGTAGAGGTGATAGTGAAAATAAGAAACATGAGAACTACTAACTTTGTATTATAGCTCATATTTGTTTTTTCTTTAGCAAGACATAAGTATTGTGGGATTTTATAGAGACATATGAGATGAGTTATATAGAAGCAAGAGGTGGAGATGACATTGTGATTAAAGGTTGTTATTCATTTTGGAAACACAATCAAAAGCTATGGATAATTATAATTGTAAATTTATAGGAATATATGTTATAATTAGTTACATATAAAATATAATAATAGTTTTTTCCAACAAATGAATTATCAAAGTCAACTTGGTGCACTATGGATCCTCTTTTGTCACCTCAATTCATCATGTCTCTCAATTTGCTTTAGTTTGCTCCTATAATTTAACAAATATACACGAAACGTACACATAGATAAACATTTACATTTCGCTTGTTTTATTGGTACTATTTGAGATGATCTTTACTTGATTTTAATATAAAGTCTTTTTTTATTCTTATTGCTAATTTAATCATTACATATCGGAGCCATGATATCACCACATAGATCATATCTTTTTATAGGAAATAAATATAAATGGACTACTGAATGATACATAGGGGAGGCTGGTTAGGGTAGTGGCAGTGATAATGGAGAAGAGCACCATATAATTTGATATATTCCTAATTAATAAAAGTTGAATGATTCATATCTCTCCTCTTTTGTTTATATCTCTTTCAAAACCTTTACCAAACCCATAAAGGCTAATTTATTCGTCTTTTTTCTTTGTACCCACAAGCACTCATCACATATTTTACAGATTTTTTAAAAGCAAGTACGATCTCTGATTTTATTCTAAAAATGATTCGATCTTATCAAACAAAATGATCAGGATTAATTAATATTGGGCAACAATGAATGGGTTATATGGCCTGCGTTCTATTGGGCTTTAGAAATTAGAACGTGTATTAAAGGAAAGAGGCCCATTATCAGGAACGAACGGTCAAGATGAATCCAACGCAAGATCAGAGATCTAATTGGACGGTGTTCTACATGTCGTGATATGATTGGTTCATATAATCTAAGATGACATGGCGTATTTTTCTTCGCATTCCATGTGTTTACCATACACATGTTATTAACTGATTGGTCCACGTCATCTAAGATGACACGGGCTCTCTCTCTTTCTTCGGGTCACTGAACCTTTAAAAGCCTCCACGCGACCTCTCGAACCCAACATTAATAAAGAAGAAACTCATCAGCTCAGAGATAAACGAAGGATATTGGAGATGGCACGCGACTCGTTGGTGCTTGCGATCTTCTTGTTAGGTGAGAATGATTCATATATTACTTAGATCAAGCCTGGATCTGTATCTATGTATGTTTTTTTGTTTCTGCTTGAGTTGTTCTAGATTCTTAGATCACAGATTTCGTGAATGTTACTGGATCGAGTTTTGGTGCGAATAATCAAAATCTGATGTGACGATTCGTTGTTTCGTGAATTTGATAACTATAATGTTTTTGTTTTTTTCTGATTAGATCTGTTCTTGCTGTGAAGTTTATAGTGCATTGGGATATATATAACTCTATTATCTACATTGCTTTCTGCTTGAGCATTGGCTGGAAGTTTTGGATAGTGATCTGTTAGTGTTAGAGCGTAATATGATAGTATATCTGTGTTTTGCCTTATGGTAATTTTATTGACGATTGGAATTATGGCTTCAGGATGTCTTTTTGCGATTTCAATTGCTAAAGAAGAGGCTACGAAGTTGGGATCTGTTATAGGAATTGATCTTGGTACCACTTACTCTTGTGTTGGTGTTTACAAAAATGGCCATGTTGAGATCATTGCCAATGACCAAGGAAACCGTATCACACCTTCCTGGGTGGGTTTCACCGATTCCGAGAGGTTGATTGGTGAAGCTGCTAAGAATCAGGCGGCTGTCAATCCAGAGAGGACTGTCTTCGACGTCAAGAGATTGATCGGGAGAAAGTAAATTACATTTTCCTTTGCTTTTTGGGTCTCTGTCTTGTCTTTTCTCGTGGAATCTTGCATTAAAGTTTATGTCTTTCCTTTTCTACATTGCAGATTCGAGGACAAAGAGGTGCAGAAAGACATGAAACTTGTTCCTTACAAGATTGTGAACAAGGAAGGCAAGCCTTACATTCAAGTCAAGATCAAGGATGGTGAGACCAAGGTTTTCTCTCCTGAGGAGATCAGTGCCATGATTCTTACTAAGATGAAGGAGACTGCTGAAGCATACCTTGGCAAGAAAATCAAGGACGCTGTTGTCACTGTTCCAGGTGAGCTTCAGTTAACTTTATATTGTGTGCTTAACTCTCTTCTTTATGTATGTTTGTTTGCTTGATTTGACCTCTTACTGTTTCCCCTGTGCAGCTTACTTCAATGATGCCCAGAGGCAGGCCACAAAGGATGCTGGTGTTATCGCTGGGCTCAATGTTGCTAGAATCATCAACGAACCCACTGCTGCTGCTATTGCCTATGGTCTGGATAAGAAGGGTGGTGAGAAGAACATCCTTGTCTTTGACCTTGGTGGTGGTACTTTTGATGTCAGTGTCTTGACCATTGATAATGGAGTGTTTGAGGTTCTCTCCACAAATGGTGACACCCACTTGGGAGGTAACTTAACCTTTACCTTAAATGCATTGTCTGATATTCATCGCCTTTAATAACAACAATGCATATTATAGATTATACATTAGGCAGAACGAACATTGTAATACGCATTTGGATTCTGTGCCAGAGGCATATATATATATGGTTTTTGTGTTAACATGTTTTGCTGTGTGATTTGCGCAGGTGAGGACTTCGACCACAGGGTCATGGATTACTTCATCAAGCTGATAAAGAAGAAGCACCAGAAGGACATCAGCAAGGACTACAAGGCTCTGGGTAAGCTCCGAAGGGAATGCGAGAGAGCCAAGAGAGCTCTTAGCAGCCAGCACCAAGTCCGTGTTGAGATTGAGTCCCTCTTCGATGGCACTGATTTCTCTGAGCCACTCACCAGAGCCCGTTTCGAGGAGCTAAACAATGACTTGTTCAGAAAGACAATGGGACCTGTGAAGAAGGCCATGGATGATGCTGGTCTACAGAAGAGCCAGATCGATGAGATTGTACTTGTTGGTGGAAGTACTAGGATCCCAAAAGTACAACAACTATTGAAGGACTTCTTTGAAGGGAAAGAGCCAAACAAGGGTGTGAACCCCGATGAGGCTGTTGCTTATGGTGCTGCCGTTCAGGGAGGTATATTGAGCGGAGAAGGTGGTGATGAAACCAAAGGTATGTTACTCTGCTACGTATAGCTGATTATTGTCTTTTTAGTATAAATGTCATGATTGTTTTAGTTTAAATGTTGTGTCTAAATGTGGTGTATTTGAAATTCAGATATCCTTCTTCTGGACGTTGCGCCACTCACTTTGGGTATTGAGACTGTCGGAGGAGTGATGACAAAGCTGATCCCGAGAAACACGGTCATTCCAACCAAGAAATCTCAGGTGTTTACGACATACCAAGACCAGCAGACCACTGTCTCCATCCAGGTCTTTGAAGGTGAACGAAGTCTCACCAAAGACTGCAGGCTGCTCGGGAAATTCGACCTCAATGGAATCCCACCAGCTCCAAGGGGTACCCCTCAGATCGAAGTCACATTCGAAGTGGATGCCAACGGTATTCTCAACGTGAAAGCAGAGGACAAGGCAAGTGGGAAATCAGAGAAGATCACAATCACGAATGAGAAGGGACGTCTGAGCCAAGAAGAGATTGAACGGATGGTGAAGGAGGCAGAGGAGTTTGCAGATGAAGACAAGAAGGTAAAGGAGAGGATTGATGCAAGGAACAGCCTGGAGACATACGTGTACAACATGAAGAACCAAGTGAACGACAAGGACAAGCTTGCAGACAAATTGGAGGCAGATGACAAGGAGAAGATCGAAGCCGCGACTAAAGATGCTCTCGAGTGGCTCGATGAAAACCAGAATGCAGAGAAAGAAGATTACGATGAGAAGCTCAAGGAGGTCGAGGCTGTTTGTAATCCGATCATCACTGCGGTTTACCAAAAGTCGGGTGGGGCACCGGGAGGTGAATCAGCTTCAACAGATGAGGATGATGAATCTCACGATGAGCTCTAGACCAAAAGTCGGATATTGCTGATTTGTGACTGAAGTGGTTGAAAAGAGTAGAGACTAGAGAGAGACAGACATATTAGTTGTTATTAAAGTTTTGAGCTTTTTATTCAAAGAAAAGCTGTTTTTTTTTTTTTTTTTTTTTGATGTATGTTATCAAGGAATGTTTTAAAGATTTTCAAATAGGGACAGATTCTCTCTTTTTACATGGTATGCTTGGGATTTTACCAAACTCATTTACACTCAAAAAAGTTAGTAAAGAAAACCTGAAATATTTTGAGGATTTATTCCCAAAGAAACTGTTTCGTTGTTTGGAGGCGTTGGAGCTTCCAGGTTTATAATTTTCAACTCACAATCTGGCCCATACTACCATACCCGAACTATTTTCGTTTTTCTTTTGGGCCTATAATTTGTTAATTTGCTGGTTTTTTTTCGGGAAAACTACAAAACAGTCCTCCATTATACATATTTATTTAGTATATTATGTTCTTAAACCATTTCTATAGGTCATTGACGACCCAAAAAAAAAAAAAACCATTTCAATAGGTTAATATCTTGAACTAATAAAACTAGAGCAATTCTTTTAGATAGTCCAAGAACAACTTTTACAGAAAACAAAATAGCACACATGGGTGAAAAATCCGAAAATAGCATTCATTGAATAAGAAAAATATTAAATTAATCTGAATGAATAATAAGTTAAAAAAAAAGATTTGATATAAAAAAAGATTTTTGAATATTTTGTTTTTTTTGTTAAAAGCACATATTATTCAATCATTTATTTTAAAATCTCTTCCCACATTTCATGTTATTGAAACTAAAATTTATGTAAAATCATTATAAATAATTCAAAATATCTTGTTATTCAATCAAAAATTTATGAAAATCATATCAAATCCGCTGTTATTCAAAGTATACAATTTCTTTTAAAAAATCTACTATAAATAGATTTGGAGAGATTTTGGATACATTTTTAGTACAAATATTAGAACAAAACAATCACACCTCTAAATGTGGTATTTGAAAGGATTAGAACAAAAAATCCAAGAAAAAAATACATGACTAATCCAGTTTATCTTTCGCTTTGTATAGTGTTTCAAACACAATCCTACTTTTGCATAAAATATTAACAAATT